CTCATGGCATTACCCTTCCCCTTACTGCAGTGTTTAAAGCTCATACTTTAGATTTATCTTTTCCTCCAAGATAAATTTTTCTTTCCACAGATACCTCAACACACCACCTTCCTTCTTTGTACCCATATCTACTGTACAGTTCACCTCATCTTTCACAGACCCATCTACTGACATGTCCCCCTCCAAATATCTAAATACAGTGGACCCCCGCATAACGATTACCTCCGAATGCGACCAATTATGTAAGTGCGTTTGTACGTGCATGTTTGGGGGTCTGAAATGGACTAATCTACTTCACAATATTCCTTATGGGAACAAATTCGGTCAGTACTGGCACCTGAACATACTTCTGGAGTGAAAAAATATCGTTAACCGGGGGTCCACTGTACATTCACTTCCTATCAAGGTCTGAATAGCAAAGCCAAGGGAGGGTTTGGGGTTAACTTTCCCCAAATTCCTTCAGTCCTCCCAAATAAAAATAGTAATAATAATAATGATTTTCTTTCTTTTTGGGCCACCCTGCCTCGATGGGAGATGGCCGACTTATTAAAAAAAAAAAAAAAAAAAATAATAATGCTTCAAAACAATGTCTCCTAGCATCCCTTCCAACCATATTGCCAACCCTGAGGTCTGAGATTCTGTGCTACACAATACAATACTTTCACAAATTTGAATATGGTAGAGTGAACTGAACTCGACTTAATTTTAATACTGTAAAAAAAAAAAGCAAATACAGTATATACTATTACACATACTTTACAAGCCATTCCCGCTTCATAGAAAGCTTTATCTGCTGGTAAAATATCAGTGTGACGTAGCAGTGAGACTGACACTTTTGCAACTAGTGTTTCTAGCTGTGATGTGGCCATGTAAGATGACCGTGCTGCAAGATAATGGGCCTGAAGTAACAGCAATTCAAATTCTCTCTGAAATAAGTGATAACAAATTAAGCCTTTAAAAAATAAGCTTACCTGTTCCTCATCAAAGTAATATGTTATTTATATAAAAAAATATATATATTATTTAAGATAATTTACATAAGACCTGTATTTGTACACAACAGGCTCTTGATTATCTGAAGTACATAACAGGGAATGGTTGGATATGGATATTCAGTCATGTGTGGAATTTATCAATATTTATTAGAGGTCTTTCTATATAAATTACAAAAAGTAAAAATCTTACCATAACGCCATCTGTATCTTCGTGTTGCCTCAGGTTTTCTACCAATGAGAAGAGGAGGTCTCGCAGATCTGCCCAGGTTCGATAGGCCTGTGCTGAACACAACTCGTGCATACTCATCAAATCTAAGGCTAAACGTCGGTATATGTTGTAGTTCTGTGCAAAAGCTGGAGCCCCATACTGCTTATATAAACCTAGAGCTTCAACAGCTTGACCATCCTGCAAATGCCATGACATTAAAGTAAAACATTGTATATTTAATTACTTAAATGACATTTCTAAACCGTAATATAAATATATTTAACTAGTGTACATTTCTGAGATTAAATAAAATGTCTAAAAGCTGTCCTAAGATCACCCGCTCACCCTCAATAAATAACGTACTACCAACAGCTGAAGTTTAGGAAGGGTATACTGTACTGTATTACTGTGAAGACAATGAGGCTTGTACAGAAATCACTCTGTGCATTAATTATCTCCACTATAAATTTTGCAAGATAGGGGAAATGAGAATGAAACAATGGAACAGTACTCTAGACTGAAGATGTTGTATCAACAAAATAAAGTTTCAGATGCTGAAGGAGTTCTTGAAGAGATAAAGATGACACGAGTTAATCACAGATATTTCATTTAAATATATGAGAAATATATGAATTACATAGCCAGATTATGTTTATTCCTCAGCTTTATCCTACCTTGATGAGACTCGTTGCATACTTTGCAAGATATTTATGTAGAAGCTCTGGGCCATGGGAAGCAGCAGTTTCCAGGGCCCGGGACCATTGCCCAGCCTCAACATACATTTCTAAGGCACCGGCCAAGTCTACATCAGCTAGAGCCTCAGCTTTTCCTTCATTCTTCAAGAAGTCTTTGTATGCTGAATCAACATAGGATTCATATCTGAGAAATAAAAATGTACAGATAAATTAGGAGATAAGAGGATAACGTTATGAAAGTTGTAACTTTCAAAATATAGCTTAATGGAAAAATTACTACTACTGTTAATTCACATGTGACAGGAAATTACTGTGACCTGAGTTTGAAGATATTTTATAAAAATGAAATTAATGTACACAAAGAAAACAGGAAATTCTCCACTTATAGTAATATACTGAGCACTCTCTACTCTCCCACAGTAATCCTTCAAAGAGATTCCCTTGCAACACTGAAGGGGCTCTTGGTCCAAAGAAATGGACATCCTCCCCTTCCTTGGTTCGAATCTGAATACTCAAAACCCTTTGTCCTTTTGACCTCATTAGAAGAGTTCTTCTCCCTTTTGTGAAATTTAGCTTCAAGACAGAACAGGAAGGAATCACTATCAAGTCTGTTCTAATGTAGCCTCTGTTGGTGGTGCTCTGGTGGTTGTGTCACTCCATCAGATCGATTTTTTATTTTATCTTATTTTTCATAGGCTAGGCTACTAGATAGAGTGTCATTACCCACTCAATGCAGAACACAGAATGAGATATGAAAGCACATTTCTTTCACGTGGTTGGATATCTGTGAACCTTTTAGAATTTTACAAAATGTGCAGAACATATTTATACTCAAGAAACTCACACTGCCCACTCTACAAGTGTAAACTATAGTAATATGAATATTTCTGTAGTACTTATTGTGTTAAGTGATTTCTTTAAATTGTAATATATTTTAATTGTGTATCATTCCTAACAAGTATTGTACACGATTAATTATTGGCAATTAAGAAAAAACAGTAACACTTACCGAGGATCTAGTTCTCTTGCAACTTTCTTTGCTTTACCCCATTCCTGACCCATGATGAAAGCATCAATAGCCTCCTTAATTTGGTCACCAGCAAGGAACAGCTGAGCAGCAGCTGAATAACGCTTAATTTCCAATAAACGGGGACCTGGTATACAGATTAAACAAATACAGAATGTTCATACAAAGTATGTTAACAACACCCACAGCAGCACAACTGTCTATATGTGTACACACAAATATAATTACTGTACTAACTTTCCTGTTTTTGTCAGCCATATGGGTGACAGGGTCTCTTCTGTATAGTACAGCAGTCCCTATAAATCTGAAAGCATCCATTTTCACAGCTTTCGGTTATCCAAAGTTTTTACTCATAGTTTCAATTATCCAGCTCACTGGCCTGCCTTCATCCAACTCACTTCTTATTCTAATCATTATTTCTGATGAATGTCAATATTAGCCAAATTACTGTAGTGATATACAGTGGAACCCTGAATATCGGCAGTAAGCCGTTGCAGAAAGTCGACCTAAATTCGAAAAGGCCTATATTTGAAGCAATATTTCCTGTAAGAATTAATGTAAATACAATTAATCTGTTCCAGAGACACAAAAATATTAACAAAAAATACATTTTTTAAAGATTAATTATAGTTTTATATACACAAAACAATGAGAACTAAATAAAATAAATAAATGAACATTTAAATCACTATTTTTACATACCTTTACTGAAGACTCTTGTTGGCTTATAGAAGACAGGGAGGAGGAGAAAGGTGAGGACTGATTATTGTTTGGAAGGGGAATCCCCCCTCCATAAGGACTTCAGGTATTAAAGCCCTCTCTGGGGTTACTTCCCTGCCTGCCTGCTACACACACTGCCTCCCTGCCACACTCCCTGTTTCCCTGCTACACTCCCTGCCTGCCTGCTACACTCTCTGCCTGCCTGCTACACTCCCTGCCTGCCTGCTACACTCCTGCCTGCCTGCTACACTCCCTGCCCCCTGCTTAACTCCCTGCTACACTCCCTGCCTGCCTTCTACACTTCCTACATGCCTGCTACACTCCCTGCCTCCCTTCCACACTCCCTGTTTCCCTGCTACACTCCCTGCATGCCTGCTACACTCCCTGTTTCCCTGCTACACTCCCTGCATGCCTGCTACATCCCTGCCTGAATGCTACACTCCCCGCCTGCCTGCTACACTTCCTGCAAGCCTGCTACACTCCCTGCCTCCCTGATACACTCCCTGCATGCCTGCTACATTCCCTGCATGCCTGCTACACTCCCTGCATGCCTGCTACACTCGCTGCATGCCTGCTACACTCCCTGCATGCCTGCTACACTCCCTGCATGCCTGCTACACTCCCTGCATGCCTGCTACACTCCTTGCATGCCAGCTACACTCCCTGCATGCCTGCTACACTCCCTGCATGCCTACTACACTCCCTGCATGCCTGCTACACTCCCTGCATGCCTGCTACACTCACTGCATGCCTGCTACACTCCCTGCATGCCTGCTACACTCCCTGCATGCCTGCTACACTCCCTGCATGCCTGCTACACTCCCTGCATGCCTGCTACACTCCCTGCATGCCTGCTACTCCCTGCATGCCTGCTACACTCCCTGCATGCCTGCTACACTCCCTGCATGCCTGCTACACTCCTTGCATGCCTGCTACACTCCCTGCATGCCTACTACACTCCCTGCATGCCTGCTACACTCCCTGCCTCTCTCCACATTTTCCATTGTTTGTGATTGCTTTTTCGTTAACATGTTTACCCCTTTCGCCACATCAGCTTCCTTGATTTGTTCTTTCCTTGCCAAGACAGAAGTGATTGTCGATTTGTTTTTGCCATACATCCTGGCAAGCTGGAGCACACACACACCACTCTCATATTTTCAGTAACTTCTTTCTTAAATTCCATCATGTTTCTCACTTTCTTTACCCAAGGAACTTTACTAGAAACTTTCTTTGGGCCCATGGTGGCTTATTTCACAGTCACATTTAACCCTTTGACTGTCGCGGTCGTATATGTACGTCATGGGAGATACCGTGTTTGACGTATCTATACGCATAAATTCTAGTGGCTTCAAATCAAGCGGGAGAGGGCTGGTAGGCCTACACGAGAGAGAATGGGTCTCAGTGGTCGGTGTGCACCCTGTGAAAAAAATCTGGGACTCAGCGGTGCATTGTGGGAACGCCATCTTGGTAGTCCATTTTCACCATGCCTCGCGGTAAGAAGTTCCTCACTCCTCGGCGGATTGGAGGTCTTTTGTTCCCAAGTGATAGCTCAAACAGTGATGATAGTGTCAGTGAAAGTGAATTCCCTGGTTTTGAAGCGGGTGTGACCGAGAAAATTACCCAGGATAACATAATTAGTGATGAAAACCCAGATGACCCACAACCATCCACCTCTGGTGCTAGGCCGGCTCGTTCATATTCACCTGTACCAGGACGAAAGAGGAAACTATTTGCCCGTGTACAAGACTCAGATGTGAGCAGTGCAAGTGATAGTGATAGTGATTTCAAGGTTATTGAAAGCACTTCTAGTTGTGACAGTGAGGGTGAATATTCCCCAGTGAAACGGCAGTATATACGACGTCGCATGCGGTCTGGTAGTGTGCCATATGCTCTTCCAAGAGGAAGGAGTACATCTCGGAGCACATCCCGTGGCCCTACACCACGTCCTGATAGTGAAGATGACGATATTGTTACGATGGGTATAAATGATGTGAGTGAGGCAGCAGGCGGTGGTGGTGATAGTGACGGTGCCATGAGTCATGTGACACCAGCAGCGGGCCACGCTAGTGCCCGCGCTGCTGACTCTGCACAACTACAACCTGCTTCGGCCGACCCCACACTCTCACAACCACAACCTGCACAACCACAACGACATTACAATATCCAGAACGCACCAGCTGACCGCATCTGGGATTGGCATCAAGATGACGAGTTTGTTCCCAATCCCCATGACTTTGATGGAGGACAAAGTGGAATACGGCCATCATGTACACTTGGGAACAATCCCACTGAACTGGAATGCTTTCAGTTGTTCTTCGATGAACCCCTGATGGACATTATTGTCAGGGAAAGCAATACATACTATGAGTACACCATGGCAAACACTATGCTTTCACCAAGATCACGCCTACACCAGTGGAAGGACACAACTGTGGCAGAGATGTATCTGTTCTTTGCCACAATAATGCTTATGCCACATGTGTATAAGCATAGTGTCAGCACATACTGGGCGACAGACCGCCTGATTTCAACCCCTGCTTTCAGTGACATTATACCAGTGAATAGATTTGTGTTACTGTTACGTATGTTACACTTTTCAGACAAAACCAGGCCTGACAGAAGCGACAGGTTATATAAGATCAGACGTGTGTTTATGTACCTGAAACAAAAGTGCTGTATGTATTTTTATCCCTTCAGGAAGCTTGTTATTGACGAGTCTTTGATTTTGTTCAAAGGAAGACTCTCATTCAAGCAGTATATACCAAGCAAGAGGAAACGCTTTGGTATAAAGTTATTTGTTCTGTGTGATTGCAAAACTGGTCTGGTTTTGGATATAATTGTGTACACTGGCGGTAAAACAATGGAAGATACCAGGAAGTTACTGGGTATCTCTGGTGATGTGGTTAGAACAATGATGGAGCCATATCTTGGTAAGGGGCATATTTTATATACTGACAACTGGTACACAAGCCCTACACTCAGTGATTTCTTGCGAGTGAACATGACAGATGTGTGTGGCACAGTGCGTAGAAATCGTAAACATATGCCTAGGTTCGAAGCTGGCAGTCGTAGAGATGAAGTGCAGGTGTTTGCTGCCAATGACATCATGGCATTTCGGTGGCATGACAAACGTGATGTCACACTGCTGACATCAGTTCACCGACACGAAATGGTAGAGACTGGCAAGCAGAATAGAGAGACCAATGAACCTATTGTAAAACCTGCAGCTGTGATGGATTACAACCTCAATATGCGCTTAGTGGACAAATGTGACATGCAGATTGGGTTTGCTGACTGTGTTCGCAAGAGTTATAAGTGGTACATAAAACTGTTTTTCCATCTTCTTGACATTTCCATGCTGAATGCTTATAATATGTATAAGTTGAAGACCAAGAACAAACCCAAATATGGTGAATTTTGTTTGTCAGTCATCAGACAAATAATATTCAAGTACCAAGAAACAACACTTGCAATAGACCAGCGCCCACGAAATTATCAACACATGTCCTCTCGTCTGAGGCCTGGTGATCATTACCCCATACCACTGCCTGCTACTACTGCCAAGAAAAATGCTCAGAAGAGGTGTTTTGTCTGTGGACATACCACAAAACGCACACAAAAACGCAGAGACACTCGTTTTATGTGTGAGGAGTGTAAGACACCATTGTGCTTATACCCATATTTCAAAGAATTCCACAAGCTGCAGCACTTCTAATAAAGTGTCCAGTGATTGTACATATGTATATATATATTATAAAACAATCGTAATAAACATTTGTTTACATTGTTTGTTTGTGTAAACAAGTTTTAGCAACATTATAATGATACGAGTGTTTTTGCTATAATTGTGTTACATTCAACGAGTGTATATTTGAACATTGCACAATAATTTGGTCTCACAGGCCACAAAAGTTATGTGAAAAAATAAAATAGTGAAAAAAAACAAGAAACCATCGAATACAAGTAAATAAAAGTTTACCGGGTGAGCGGCAGTCGCCGCTGTTGCCGCCAGCAGATCAATTTCAGCAAACTTCAGGACTCTATATCTCGGTAAGTACTGATGGGAAAAAATTTTTTTTGGGACTAAAACAATCAGAAAAATAATCTTAACATTTTCATAAGAAAAAATAATTTTTTTTTTTTCGAATATTTTGCGACACCAGGAGCAACTTCAGGATTGGGCCCTTCGACAGTCAAAGGGTTAATAAACAAGCACAAAAACCGATGGATTTTAACCCTTTCAGGGTCCATGTCATAGATCTACTGCTTTACGTTGAGGGTCCAAACCATAGATCTACGCCATGAGTTCAGCTCACTCTGATAAGCTGTGAGCAGTAAATTTGGGCCTAGATATGAGAAAATACATCTATGTGGTATGTGTGCACCACATAAAACAAATCCTGCAGC